AGGGAAAATTTTTTTTACTAAAATAAATATTTGAGGGACGATATTGAAGAAACAAGATGCTGAGACTAAATTGAATAAAAATTCAATGTAGAGGGATTAAATTTAATAAAATTTATTTATTTGGGGGTTAAATTGAATCCAAAAATATATTTTTTTTGAATTAAAAAAAAATAAATACATTTAGTTCACTTTTTAAATTATTAAGTGTCATATATATATATATATATACACACACAAATAATATAAAAGAGAAGGCATCTGTAGTTGGGCAGGGCCTGGCTTGCTCCTTGGCTTTTGAAAATTTGGCTAAACAGTGGCTTTTTCTCAAACAAAAAGAATAAAAAATTTTCCATACTAGTGTATATATGATACACACACATATCTATATCCATATCTACATCTATATCTATATATATATATATTCTACATATATCAAATTAGCACAGCATAATTTTGCTCACATCATGTGCAATATCTCTAGTCCCTGAAAGCTATCCAAGAATCAAGTCTTCCAAACACACACGGGGACAGTATATATCTGTGCCTGGTAAATCTCCTTTGAACACCAGCATATAATCTCCTTTTCAAGTTCGTGGTTAACTCAATAACTGCTAGTGGAGTATTGATTTAATTACGTGTTGAATTGTTACTATGTATCACCTCTAGGAAATGATGAATCATCTTTAATTGAATTATGAAAAGAAAAATGATTAAGAGTCCGAAAATATAATGACTCAAATAATCTAAATAAAGTATATTTTATTTCACACAAATAAAAATCCTTTACTCTTGTTTGGTGTTTTTTTTTTATAATTTTGTGTCAAGTATTTAATTTTATATTATAAATAAAAAATTTTTAATTTTTAAATTATAAATTTTAAACTATAATATAAGAAATTTAAAAAACACATGATACAAAATTATAAAAAAGAAATACTAAATGAGACGTTAAATGAAACACTAAATGAAAATAGAAGATTCCTGTTCATTTGAAAAATAAATGTTTTTTCTGTTTTTCACTTTTTTAATATAATTATTATTAAAATTATCGTCAATCTATTAATAATTAATTAACTTGACACCTTATTACCGTAGACTAGTATAAAATTCAGCAATGTGTAGAAGTAGGATTCACGTTTTCCATGTTTGAACTGAAAAGTTTGAAGTACAAATGCAAGATGGCTGTAGTGCCCGTTGGGTCACCCCTTTGCTACATCACTCTACCTAAAAGCCACAACAAGGGGGAAACAGAAGATGAAGAAAGGAAAAAAAATGTTTATATTTATGAGGCACACATGTTTCATCCTAACAAAATTGACCGCTACATTTATTTTGCTCTGCCCGATCTCAGTTTGAATTGTGGAATAGTAGTTAGACATCTTTGTTTCATCATTTTATACTGGGAAAAATCTCTCAATACAAACAAATTCATGGACCCATGCTAGATTTGCATTGATTAGGTTGCACAATGAGAAGAACGGTATCGATTAATTCCGTGAGTTTATTAAAGGAAGTCATAATTAGATAATCAAATATTTCAAAAAAATTTAAATTAAGTAAAAAAAAATATAACTTTCATATATAAATCAATTTTAATACATTTATTAATGTTATATTGGATATATAATAAAAGGCTTCAGACATGAACTCTTGTATAGAGAGAAGGTCTAATAAGTTAAAGATAAGACTTATTAAGAAAGACGTACAATAGTTTTAAGTAAGATATACGACACGAAATGACAAGGAAAGGAGGTGGGCTTTGTGTGATTTGAACTTAGGAATTTAGCTTTGGTGTTTTGTTTGAAAAAAGTGATTTGGTATTTAATTTTACCAATGATTTAAACTAATTAAGAATCGTTAGGTGTGCTATGATTCCTTAGCATAAAATTAGAGATCAAGGAGGCTAGTTTATATAATGAATATATTATTTAGTCGTCATCATCATCATCATCATAGAGTATTTATTTTGCATTAATTTAATTTAGGGTAGACTCTACCTTTATCTCTTGTGATTTTATTTTATTTTTTGCATAATACCCTTTAGTTTTTTTTTTCTAATTAACACTTTATAGATTTTTTTTTCAATTAGCATCTATGGATAAAATGTTTTCTCATAATTGGTTAAGTTTTTTTATTTTTTCTAATAAAATTAAAAAAATACTCTTAAGTATGAACAAATAGATTAATTTTGAATTAAAATATTTTGATAATTTTATTAAATGAAATTAACATCCTAACCTTATGAGAACAAAGGTTATCTAGTATAGATGTTAATTGAGAAAAAGAAAAACTTATAAGATATTATTGAAAAAAATTATAAAGTGTCCTGTGCAAAAAATTTACTTTTGATGTTATCATGAATATAAAGCATTTGATAAATAACTATAGAAATGACGAATGAAAGTTGTGAGAAACCATAAGATTGTCTCGTATTTAAATTAAAATAAAAAGAAAAGCGTGTTTTAACCCTGGTTTGATTGATTTAACTTTCAAGTTGAGTGCTACTAGTGTCTATCAACTGGCATACAGTGAACCCTTCCTAATGCTTTTGATGCCACTAAGTTGGTGAGATTGTTGTTTGATTCACGGAACTTACCTCTTGAGTGTTCACCAAACTGGAAATCTTCCACAGCATGAAGATTGAAATTGGAAAGGAATAAATGCTATAGAAGAAATGAAGTCTAATTGAGTCTCCAACCATTACCATTTTACCACATGAAAAAGATTTTGGTTTTTCGGGTAAAAGGACTTGGTTCAGACAGGACAAACCCAGTAAAGGGCATGGAAGGAAGGGGACCCCAAAACAAAGTCACCCGACTTTGGAAAACAGCTAATTCCAGCCACCTTCATCCCTCCTAGCGAGCTACCCTGTAGCCCCTCTTTAAGGGATGCAAGGTCCTACATTTCCCTAGCACATAGCCTGTTTGGTATACCGATTCGAAGGGGCAAATTTCATTTAAGAGGAAAGTTGTGGACAAATTCTTAATTCCAAAGCCAAAAAAAAAAAAAAGCAACTGTAGAGACAGACAAATTATTAATTCGGCAAATAAAGGATGCGTAAAATCCCATCATCAGCGTCATGTTTTGTTGTTTTTGTTTATTTAACGGAAGCAGATAAGATTTTATTGGTGCGTGGCTTCCCAATGGTTAAGTTATCCTTCTAAGACAAAACAAAAACGATATTCAGGTCACTTTAAAATGAAAAATTAGACCCTTCTTGTCTATTTTTTTCTCCGTCTCCTCCGAATACCAGTCCCCTGTTCTTTTCTGTTGGAGGTTTCGCAGCTATGTGGTTCATGGTCATCCGGGGCAGATTTGCAATCGAGATTCAAGACAAAGAACGCCCATTTTTACCTTTCATGTTTCTTCTCTCTCTCTATATATATATATTTACTCTGACAATGCCAATAACAGAGGTGGAGTTTTGAGTGGTTTTTGCTGCTATCCCTCTTATCTTCTCCTACAACGTTGGCCAATGAACAGCTTCCAATTTTAAACGGGAGTATTCGATAGATATTAAGTTGGCTGCATGCCATGAATAGACTTATTTCAGTTAGTAAATAACTCTTGAAGCGCGTGACCTTGTTGCTGAATCAAATATTTAAATGCATAACTAATTAATCATTGAACACAAGAACTTAAATTAATAATAAACTTTTTAAAGTCAAACCCATATTTTGTAGAACCATCATGATTTCTGTATTAGCATTCCGAGACTCGTACAATCAAGTTTGATTCCTACTATGCATCCACTATTAAACTTGCTTTTGATGCACTAACCTTGCAAAACTAGATTCAAGAATTTAAGTCCGATTGTAAGAAGAAAAAAATATTATCGTAATATACAAACTGTCCAAATTGGTCCTTACATATCCTTGATTTCCTCTGAAAAAATTGGGTAAGAAAGCATATTAATTTGCATGATTAAATATTGGGCTAATGATTGAAAGCAATCTACATATAATCAAGTTGACTAGGAAGTTCACAGAGGAGAAGACGAAGCAGCCTCCAATCTTGACCTCGAACAGCTAGATGACCTGGAAGTGTGGGCATCTTTTACGACCAAAAACAATTTTAAAAAATAAATAAAAAAGACAAAGAATGGGCAGCAAATTAATCAGCATCTCTACTGATTTAACATAAAGAGTAGCTGTTAAATCTAGCTTACTCTACAAAGAACCCATCAAAAATCATGGAAAAAGGATCACATCAAAAAGGCCCTAAACGAAAGCGAAAAAGGGTTTCACAGAATTCTCGTGTTACCGTTTCCACCATGTGAAACTGTGAACCATCTCCCCAACCCCAGACGATAGAAAGGCCTTTTGTTGACAGCCCTCTTCTCTCCTCCCTTTGGGAGAGAGCTATTTTGACAATGAGCTTACGTGAAAGGGTAACTTGGTCATTGTCGTGCCAATTCATCGACGCTTCCCGTCACTGTTGGTAGGGGACATATTAAGACCATCACAGCTCCACCAATCGCACGCGCTCCTTGTCTCCTTCACTGATCATCACTACATGACAATGCTCAAGGGAACAGGAATCTCCAAGAGAAAGTATCCCTACATTTTTGCAAATGTCTGCCTCCTTTTGCATTTGGTAATACATTTAGTATTAGTATTAGTATATATTTGTACAAATAAAATTATAAAGGAATAACGTCTCTTAAAATGAATAACAATCCTTAGATCAAATTTATATTATTTTTTTTTATATTATAATAAATTTAAGTCAATTGAGAGAAGTGATAGTATGTTTAGGGCAACTAATTTTTGGCACATGATCATGTCAAAAATGATTGAGCCAAACAAGGGTTGGGTTGTGTCATAAAAATCCGATTCCCCAATCGCAGCTCCTACACAAAGAAGTGGCGCGTAAGCTTGAATGTTTCCAGCAAATAGCATGCTTTAACGTTTGACAAATGACTTTGCCCACTTTTTAGTATGGGTATTCTTGTAAATTTACTCACAGTTGCAACGTCTAAATGCAAATATAAATGCCCACGACACACTCGTAGCCAACGGTTCTAACGTTAATGGAGCAACCACCATACACTGAAGATGACTTGAACACCTCCACCACCTCCCCTGAATCCACCACGACAGCCGAAACTCACCCGAAACACGACTCCAAGCGAGGCGGCACTAGGCATCCCGTCTACAGGGGTGTCCGCAAAAGGCGGTGGGGCAAATGGGTGTCGGAAATTAGAGAGCCACGCAAAAAGTCGCGCATTTGGCTAGGCTCATTCCCCGTGCCAGAAATGGCCGCCAAAGCCTACGATGTAGCGGCGTTCTGCTTACGGGGACGTAAAGCGCAGCTTAATTTTCCCGACGAAGTGGAGGATTTACCGAGACCGTCGACGTGTACGGCTAGAGATATTCAGGCCGCAGCAGCAAAGGCTGCGCATTCAGTAGTTTCGTCGAAAAAAAGTCAAGAATCATCCGAAGACGGTGACGGACACGGCGCTGACGATTTTTGGGGCGAAATTGAGCTGCCAGAACTGATGAACAGCGGGTGCCAATGGAATTCACGCGGTTGGACATTCACCGGCGATGGGTCGTGGCTGGAAGGAGAGGCTCAGCAGCAACAACAGTTCTTGGCATGTCTCTGATGTGTATGGTTGGGTTGTGAACAAAAAAAGAAGAATCTCCATGAATGTTTCACCAACCTCTTGTCTTCGCTTTTATGTACTGATGATTTGGCATTATATAAGCTTTGTGGTATGGCACGCAATTTGGCGAAGTTAAGATGCACCAGGTTCCCAATTGGTTCACTGTTTCCTTCATCTGTAGGCTAGAAATCGAGCCGATTTCTGTAAATTATTACAACTTAGATAAGAGGAGGAGGTTGTTTATATTATGTTTCTTCCCCTTACCCTTAATATTCAACTTAAGTGTGTACAAGGGAGGGTTAAGTGAATTCACTGGGTGCCTGCTACATGGAATATTATGGGGAGGTGGGGGATACATTCTGTATGTAAATAAGAACGGCGTGCCAATAAAGTGGTCTTTTGCTCCTTTCAGTTTGGCATTAAAGAAAGGACCTTTGAGAAATTTTAAGTCCTCTCTATGACCAAAAGGCTTTTAGAATATAGTTAAGTTAGAATTGTTTTTAATTAAATATTAATTTGCATGTATTGTTATAATTATATCACTCATTTCTATTTTTTATTTCATAAAAAATATGGCCTTTATGGATGTTTTTTATTTTTATTTTTAGAACAAAGGGGACAGTTTTGTTTCAAATATTTGGAAGGGAATAATGGCTCCATTAGTCAAATGAATAATTAAACCTCGAATTTGATTTTTCTTTTTTATCAATTCATATGTTTTGTGGTATGAACCAAGTTTAAGTGTTATTGGGTATTTGCATGCACAGTCACACATACTTTTGTTATTATAATTTCATATACTCAACAAATTTAAAATTAAAATGATATATATATGTAGTTTAATAATTGAATAACACCCCTAAATTAGGTATAATGTGATTTCAAGGTTGGTATGATGTGATTTTTTTCTATGGTAATTTGAGATTTAAAGGTTGGGAAATAATCTAAAAGTTGAGTTTTAATAGATAGTGATGCTTGTAAATAGTAAGAACAAAAAAAGGACCATAGAGCTTGCTCAATTATGAGCAGAATAGTGTACTTGTTAAAATAGTTTAGTTCACTGTGGCAGCTCTGTCCTTCAAATTATTGTATTTAAAACCCAATCATAGAAACCTAATTATTATTCTCCTTATTGTCAACTGATAAATCTATTCAATTTTTTGGGTATTTGAAATTCTGGTGATGCCATATGTATTCCTATATATATTTTCGTCCTCACATGCAAACAAACAAACATCAAACCTAAGATACATACAAACCCTCAATTCTATTTCTGTTTCACTTCACTGTCACCTGATCAAAGCTTCTTGTGATGTTCATGATTATTAAGATTTAAAACATCCAAGAATATGACAGATCCAGTTTTGAAATTATTAGGCGCTCGATGTAGAATCTTAATACGAAACAAAGATATCACTATTTTTTTCAGAAATGTGACGTGATGTTTCTTTTATTTAAAAAAAAAAGGGACAAAATTTTTTAATTTAAATCGTTATCTTTACCCGTATCATATGTAAACGAAAACATTTAAGAAATTTGAAATGTAGATACCTTATTATACATTTTGGATTCTTTTTAGAAGAAAATAATACATTCCCACATGTCTAATTAATTCAAGATAATTAAAAATTTTGTTATCTTTGAAAATATAACAATGACAGATTGACATAGAATATTAAATATTGGCAATGTGACAGAAAAAGAAAACGTTGTTCAATTTAGTACCACGAGTATGTTGATGGGTCTGAAAAATGATGCTGTCCCCACTTTAGCCTTAACCAAGACTTACCATCTCAGCAATCACTAGCAGCAGGGCGACCTTTTCGTTTTAAATGATTTAACTGCAATTAAATCAAAACAATATCATTTTGATTCGTTGAAAAGCCAAGTGGTAAATACTAATTCACTTTTTGTTTCTTAAATGACGAGATGAGATCGACATTAATTCAAATGTCAAATCTCTACACAAACATGTCGAACTTGTACAGAGATCAATCAATTGAAGGAAATTCAGGTGCCCTGGAATTCTTCTAATATATGTTAAGAGTACTAATCAACTTAAAAATCTATGTCCCTGGGGGAAGTCTAAATGGTTAAACTTTTTCTATTGCTTAAAAATTACTAGTATATTGACGAATCTTATAAACATATTCCAAATTACTTCCATGAGTATATGAAAATATTTACTGTTAATCGAACATTAAGCATTAATCATTTCTCCCTCGATGTGAACAAAAGGCAGTGCGACTTTTAAAGAAGGACACTGCAATAAAGATCCCAACTACGAGATTTTAATACAGAAACAAGAACATGTGCGGGAGGACAGAATAGATTGGGAAAAACATGGCAGACTGCAGCCATAGCCTTGTAGTATTTGTTGTTATCATTTCACAAGAAGATATAGAAAAGGCGAATTCAACATTTAATTTAGAAAGAGCTCTGGCGATTACTTTAGAGATTACTTTTTTAAAAAAAAAAACTTTAATTCAATTCGGGATTCAACCCACCATCAATCAGAGGGATTGGCATGATCATGCAGATGAATATTTTTTGAGTGTGCTGGAACTGTTAAAAAGTGACTGGAACTGTAAGTAAAGTTGCAAAGCAAACGAATATTCGATTGGACCACAGGGGTCGGGTCAGCCAACGTGGTATGTTGAAATATTGGCTCCATACTTGTCGCCCCCTTGGCCCTGCGCGGCCTGTTCCTTTGGAAGTTGTTCAAATTGAAGGCGTTGCTTTCACGTTTGGCATTTGGTTTGCACCATCCAATAGGAATAATACAACTCCCCCCATGTATATGAAACATCATCTAACTAGTGACACTGCATGCCCACTCTTTCCTCTTTCTTCTCCTGTTCTTTCCTTTTGGTACACATCCCACTCTTGGGAACAATTAATGAAATTTGTTAGCATCGGTTAAGTATGGTAAAAAGAGGAAGTCGAAAACAAGTTACACTTGTGTAAAAGATGTCCTTCCATGCATTATTAAACGACAGCTTAACTCATTTTAAAGGGATGGGAAAATTGGGCCTACGCATTGTAAGATTTGCTGCCTGCCCCAGTAAAAGGGGAAATCCAAAACAGAATTTTTAGTCGTAGGGTCTTCCTCAATGCAGGATTGTTCTGAGAAAGGGTCGAGGTGTGTTGCAGACTTGCAGTGAAGCAGTGGTGGCAGAAAATCTAAAAATATATGACAGTTCCCATATCTGATTCTAGTTGGTCTCCGAATCTAAAGCCACGACAATTTCCGGAACAATCGTACCTAACCTCGAATCCCCGCATGTCAGATTTCCATTCCAAGGACATTTTATTTCTGCACAAAAAAATCATTGAATCTTGCGTGGAATATCTGTGTATAATATTTACGTTTCCAGTTCGTAATTTACATATAAACTTGGACTGCACATGTAAAGATAACTGTCTCTCATTTCAGACTTCGAACCAGTAAAATTCTTCAAGTCTCAAATTAATTCTAGTCACTACTAGTCTTGGAATTGAATTTAACTAGGTGTTGTGTTGGTGAAGCTATAAGCCGTCTGCGACCACATTTCAATTTATATGACACTGAGAAATTAAACTAAATTGCAAATATCTGGAGTTCGTCCATGGGGATTTTTACGAGGGGGAGAACAACTAATGATAACGAGATTGAGGGCTGAGTTTGGGAACAGGATAAGGTGCAAGTGCATGTAAATAATTCATGGTGAGCTGATGTTTGGGGTCTGCGAAAGCACGTGAAGAAGACATAAAACAACAAGTGGAAGGTAGGAGGTCAAAAAATTAATGGACTTTGTTGGTTATCCCATCGCTCCTTGTTTTCGGACCCACGGAAGTGGACGTACACCAAGACACGTGACTTAGTGAAACTAAGCTGCGGAGAATGATTCAATGGCGTCCCTGTCAAATTGGAGTTTCTGTAATGAATTAGCCTTTGCATGAGGGACGCTTGGCATCGAAACCCCACCCGGGCAACCTTCTTTACAAGACCGGGCATTCGCCTGATGCTTAGCTGCAATCTTTAATTGTTTCTCCACTTCAATTTTCTGTTCCCTTTTCTCGATTGACTTAAACAAGAGGAGGCACTGGTCTTTGCCTGGTTAGCTTGCTTATGAGTGTTCCTCTGCTCCATTTGAGTTAGTCGGCTTCCTAATTTGCCGTACATGGGTATAACCCTTCTTCAAAACCTGCTAATGCTACTTACAGCGTACCGTTTGGTACGAGGAAATAGCCAAGTCATTCCTCTTATTCCTTCTACATTTTTATTCCTTTGATTTGATTGGTTTCTCAACATCCATCACAAAGAATGGTCATTTCTCAAAATCTTTGATTTAACCATTCGTCACGTCTTAAATAGTATTTGACTATTCCATGATCATATATGGAATAGAGTTAAAAATTTATTGGACGAAAATATCCTTGTTTATTGAAAAAATTACTACCCTAGAAATAGAAAATAAAAATTTATAATTTATTAAATTTTTAATGAAATAGAAATTAAAAGATGGAAAAAATGAAAATTCAAATTGAGAAAAAATAAAAAGAAATTGAAATAAAAAATCATATTAATAATTTAATAATAAATTATTAATATCAAAAATTTTTAATGAAAATAAACATTAAAAAATTAAAATAAAAAATATTATTAAATTATAGTAACGTGTAATTTTGTCTAATTTACTAAATTATAATACGGAGCATTTTTATTTTGATAAACATAAATTTTTTTATAATATTATTAAATTATAGTAATGAGAGATGAGTAATTTTTTTTATAAATTTTTTAGTTTACTAAATTAAAAAAGTAATTTTATCATTTTTATTATTTATTCTTTGATTATTTTGAAACTATCCTTATCAATTAAATATCAAAATGAGTCATAATAATAATTTTTAATTTATTTTATTTAATAATTATTATATTTTATTTTTATTCAATTTTTATAAAGTAATTATTTTATTTTATTTCGTAAATCAAAACGTGACGTAAGTGATTCGGAGAAAAAAATTGGCACCTCCATCGTTTCTGTACTTGTAAGATCTCCTTTGATATCCGGGGGACCTCGTCCTTTTTTGTGGGGTGGAATAACTTTAAAATGCTTTTGATATGAAAAGTGAAAGTTGACTCAAATAATTGGTGTCAGTCTTCGAGAACGAAGGCATTTTTCTTTGATTTTGGGGCAATGAGATTTGAGCGGGGTGGATGTGGGGCTACCCATAGCCCAAAATAATTGGATTTTGGGTCATGGATTAGGATCCATTATTTCTAGATTGGGCTTAAGAGTGAACAAGGCCTGTCTTACACTGGATGTAAGCCCTCCACTACCTTCATAACAAAGTAAAAAGGCATTCATGGATTATATTGTTGTGAAAGAAATAATAGAAGAAGCAGGACAAGAAAGATATTGAGA